ATCCAAATAAATGCTGTTTGTACAACACTGTTTGTCCATCACAAACATGCTGGGAGGATCCAGAATGTATGTACAAACAGTATTTGTCACTAAAATCCAGGGATAAAACCTGTACTGGCAGTGGGGTTTAGACACGCTGCAAAATCATCGTTACAGGAGTGGAAGCATGTCGGCGTTAAACAGGAAGGGAGGATGGGGGGTGGAGGAGAGGGAGAAACACAGAGGAGACAGAGAAAGGTAAGCTCCTCTCTTTATGCTTATTATTTAGGCATTAGCTCGCTAAGCACATTGCATGTGGGGACTTTAATGCAATTTTCCATTTCATTCTGCTGCCACCCACTCCTGATGCAAATATGGATATGATCTGTTTATAATTAGCATACCTGTTAAACGCCTTAGTTAGTATTGCCTAGAGAATCGCAGCCTTTTGTTTGCAGGCGGTTGTCTATGCCGTGCCATCTTGGGAAAATTTCAAGGAAGCATTTTCCCGAGAGACATCAAAGATTGGTTTTTGCTAGCTATCTGAAGGATCACATTGTTCATTTTCCCCCTTTTTGCTATAGTTTAGCAGCCGAACAGGTGAAATCTGGTGCTTGGATGCTGGTGAAATCCATCCGCGTGCTGAGCCTTTTGTGACAACCTAGTGGGAACCAAGGCAGAACTAAAGCATTACTAGCCTAATTAGCTGACCTGATTACTGCACGGACTGGATGGCGTGTGGAAAAGAACCATCCTCACAAGACATAATTACAGAACAGCACACAGGCGCTGATTTTCGATGGGGAACCCAGGGCCGTGAACAGAACTCGCGTCGTCACTTTGGAGGGCCATCGTTTATCCATCCCAGTGCCAGAGCTATCTGTCATGGCTGAAGTAAACATTAAGGCCATCAGTCTGCGGTGCGCACGGCGCTGCTCGCATCCATTTGTCCGTGTCCAGTGAGCTGCGGAGAGACTGTGATGGAATCCTGACAGATTGTCTGTGTTTGGGAGCGTGTTGTTTTCTTTGCCCATACATTTTTCTTCTTCAAGCCATGTTTGCCATGCATCATCACGCTCGCTCTCTCTCTCACTCTTGCTGCCTCCCTGCTTCTTCCCTCATCGCCTCATCCCTCCTCAGATAGACATCTGACTACCTGTGAGGAGAGAAACTATGGAAACACAGAACTTGTTATTTTTGAACACGACTCGTGTGAAGACGACACGGCAAAAAGCTGGCTCTTTCTTCTCCTGTCTCTCTGCGGTTCCCCCTCCCCGCCTTCGGTCGGCGTCTCCATGTCACTGTGTGCCAGCCAAACTTGTCTAATCAGCAGATTTGACCAAAATAATTGGCAGTGGCCTTGCTGCCAGCAAGCGTCGTGCTGTATACAGATAGGGAGAAGGAACGCTTAATATTCCAAGCAGCTCGTGCCTCTCCTGTTCCCTCTGATATCTGACCTCTTTTGTCTCCTGCTGGGCTTGATGTTGATTTTGGAGGGCATTGTTAGCCAGGGCGCTGTGATTGGAAGAGGTAGCCGGTGGAGGGGGGCCGTGGTTGGTTGGGTTAAAGGAAAAGCCCATTTGCATAAAGGCTTAGCCCAGATTTGGAGCCACTCAGCGAGATCTGAGGAGAAGGGCCCGAGGGCCGCGAGGTAATCATCCATGGCCTGTCACATTGCTGTCATCCCCGCGTGGATTTGTCTGTGTGTCTGGAGAACATTGTGTCTGGACTACTTTGTGTTTATATCCCTTTGCATTTGGTGTGCAACACTGGCGAGCACCTCCATCAAATCACACTTGCTGTCTTTTTATTTTATATATATATATATATATATATATTTTTTTTTTTTTTTTTTTTTTTTTCCTTTCCCGGGGGGGGGGCCCGCCCCAAGGGGAGGGGGGGGGGGACCAACCCTCG